GCAGCAGGCTTAAACTGGAAGTTTCTAAGGAAAATCGAAGAGTTTCCAAGTTCTGCCAAGCTGTCTGTTTTGGAATAGTTATTCCTAATTTGAAGATTTTAGTTAACTTGTGAGTTTCAGTAATCTTTCCGTTTTATAAAGGTGGCTTTGTTTTAGGAGGGCTTTTAACTGAATCTGGAAAGGTTACAGCTGATTCAGAGTCTAAGCTGTGTTGCTGAACTGAGAGAGCTACCTAGCTGAACAAATCCTTACCCAAACCAAGCACCCAAGGAAAAGAAGGATGTTTGCTTTTAGGTCTTCCAGCTGCCATCTCCTCTTCTGCCTTCCCTCCCCTTAGGCTCCTTGGAGACTTCCTATTTCCTTGTCCTCTCCCACAAAAGCACCTGGAGCAGCCAGATGCCACAGAATAGATTTGAAACTAGTCAGTAAATGTTAATGCAGGTTGAAGTATGGGAGGAGGAAAAGCATTTCTAGCACAAGTTCTCAAAGTAGAGTGACTCAGAGCTTCTCTGCATTCACCCCTGGAGTTCACCTTGCGGGAATAAACATGCCAACTTTTACAGGTTTCTGTCACTGGACAGTAAACTGGAGAAACTGGGAGTAAGGAAAGCTGCTTTGTTTTACTGTGTAGTTGTCTTTATTTGATAATTCGTACAGGTGGTTTGTTCTGTATGTAATAGAATATAGTCCAGAGCCCTGTAGACAGTTGTGCTAAACATTGCAGTACAGATTACATTAAGTTTTAAAACATCTGTAAAAGCAACAAATGGTCTGAGTTTGAAAACAGTGAACCAACTGTGTTTTATCACTTTGAGTGTGAAATGACTGAATACTGGGTAAGGCTGCACTGAAGGGGACCTCCAGTCTTGGCAGGTTACAGTCCAAGAGACAAGCTTGGGTAAGCTGCTTATTGGATCATGACAGCCCATTAGCAAAAGGAAGGAGAGGTCTCCCAAGGAAGGTGGGAAAAAAACCCACAGTGTGTTAATTTTGCATATTTCTCTTACATTTGCTGTTTGTGAATATGTAAACCTTCTCTATTTTGCGTTTTTAATGTCTGTTCAATTTACTGTTAAAATTATTTCATGTCCAGGTCTACCTTTGGATATTTTGTAGCCCTGAAACTGAAGGTATTGTTTGTTATCCTGGTACAGTTTTGTTTATCTGTATAAAGCAGAAGGCCCCCTAACTTTCCAACCTGCTGTATACTTTACAGCTGTAATTGTTTCAGAGATGCATGATAAGGGGATAGAGTTCAGGTTTAGAAATCTGGTTTAAATGCTTGTTTTTTAAAAATCCCTGTTTCTCCAACTAGAAAATAGTGGCCTACAAATATAAAATGCAGTCATTTAGGCTACTTGCAGATGCTTACGGAGATCAGTTTGCACAGTGCTGTGGGTAGTTAGGTCTGATTTAGTAAAGCAAGCTAATAAAATCACACTCAGCTCCTAGACCAAAGCTTGTCTCCACAGACTCTGTATGTGAAGGCAGCTGATGCTTTTCATCGGAACTGCACTTCTCATCCCGACCCACTCAGGCTTGGACCTAAAAATTCCCTCTGGCATCGGCCATGGGTCTGGTGATTGTTAGTCACAGCCAGCACCCTAGAATGGTAGGAAAGGAAACCAAGCACCCTGCTTCAAAAGTATTTTGCTTAAGACAAGTAATTTGCCTTTGTTTGCCTCTGGAATTAGAATTTTTAAAGGTAAGTAAAATGTTTTGGGATAATCACCTCTATTTGTATTTTGGCTGCTGAAAACCAACCCAAAATTCCAACATCCATCTTGTCATTAGCAATATAGGAAAGCAAATATGTTTTCACAGTCAAGGAGCAAGGAACAGATGAGCTGTTAGATTTCTGTTTGTGCAGCACTTCAGTGTTTCCAGGTTTATTGATGCATCAGAATTTTTCCAGTGAGCTGTAATGAACAGAGCTATGAGAGTGAGGATTGTGTTGTATCATATCAGTGTGGCTGAACTGAATGAAACAACATATGTAGCAATCGGATGCTTACCACTCACAGAAATTAAGCCATTTAACCGCTTGAGAGGGTAATATTCTTTACTTTCTAGAGAGTTCCCCAGATTGAATGGACTTTAGAAATCAGAAAAAGGAAGAAAAGTCAAAAGAGGGAAAAGGAACCTACAATATTTTTTTAAGTATCTGTAATTTTCTAATATGTTGTTTTGTTACAGAAACTCTCAACTGGGCAGTAATACGTACCTAGGCTTGAGGGTACGCTATTTTGCTGCAGACTGTAAAATTAGAAATGAACTGTAGTAGAGGCTTTTATCTGTTTTCTAGCTGTATATATTTCAATAATAGTAAAATTGCCTTATGAGTTATGCAGTTACATTCTGCATCTGAAACAGTGTGGGATGGGGGATCCAAAAGATGGGATTTTTTTAAGCTTGTATATGAATCTTGATGTTTTTAAGAGCATTAGTAGATATTTTTTGATTGCAAGGAATGTTGCCTCTGCTCATGAAAGTGATGGTGAAACATCAACTGCATCTTCATAAGAAACAGTGGAGTTTTCAAAGCAGTTTCAAAAGGAAAGCATTTCAGTTTCCTATGGGTGAAGTATAACATCCTGAAATAAGCTAATCAGCAGAAAATGGTGGTCATATTCACAGTGATTCCCTGGCTTGTGGGTATTTGACCTTTTAGAGGCATAAGGTTGTTTTCCTGGAGATAAGTATACTACTTGCAGGCCCTCAGATTTAAGGTCTTTTGGGTCCAGCGGCTGAACCTAAGCTAGAACACCCTTTAATCTTTCCTGTACCACTGCAGGCTGTCTTTCTGAGCCTGTCTCAAACAGCACGATCTTCTTGGTGCTGAACATGCTGTCAGCTTTTGATAGGGACTCATTGACTAATTCCTTGCATTTTCAGTCAAATCTGATCATCCTCTCCTATCTGATTCACCATGGTTTTAGGAATTTGTTTATCAAATAGCTGTTACCTGTGCCTGCCTGATTGCTTTTAAATGGACACCTGCTGAGTTGCTGCTCTTATCTGCAGAACCTATGCTGCTTTTCGAAATGCACTTGTCTTTACAAAGGCTTTGGAGCTAATGTGCTGTGCAGCAAGAAAATAACTCTTCCATTCATCCAGCTTGTCTTAGTGGACAAGTGTATGTACTGTAAGTACTGTCCCGTCATCTGCTGGGATAGGGTATCTGACAGCTGGAACATGACCATGTCAAAACCCAGCTGGTTATGTGAACAGAGAAAGGCAAGAACATGGTGCTTTGATCTTCACTGTAATCAGGCTACGTGTACTGCCAGCATCATAATTGTTTCAATTTAGCAAGCTCATCTGAGAGTATTACAGGGCTCAAAACAAAATCCTTGTAATTTTATCAGGCACATTAGACTAATGATGGCAAGCGCCATATTTCCAGCAGCAGATCCTGCCACAGGCACATGAATAAAACAGTCCACTTTTCCCCAGAATTATCCACCTTTGAAGTCTTTCTCAATATAGTCAGAATTCTTATCTCTGGATTACTCAATAACTCTGTGACTTAATAGCTAGAGAATTGTTCTGAATTATGAATTAAAGCTTTATTTAAGATCCAGTAGCTTTTTTTTTTTTCCTCCTTTCTTTTACAAAGAAGCTTCTCTGATGTATTTCTCTGCTTGGACTTCACCAGAGCCTAGAATGATTCTGTCTTTACAGAAATCTTCATTATGATCTTAATAGTAATTGTGAACATTAACTTTGATCCTCACTGGGGAGACGGAGTGATAGGGAAATACAGGTACAGGAATAAGATGGGGAGATGGAGTGATAGGGAAATACAGGTACAGGAATAAGATGGAATAGGAAACAAGAGGGAGAAGAGAGTAGGTTGTATATTGAAAAGCTATAGGGAAGGGGAAGGCTAGGTTAATGGGGATGCGGCAAGGGACCTGCCAGCTCTTCTGTCGGGCATTTGCAAGGATTGAGAGTGAGGAAAGCAGTCTCTTATGCTTCTTTTTGGTCCTTCCAGCATCAGGGGTAGCCTTGTCTCTGCATGGGCAACTGGCAGTGTGCCTGTTGTCATGCACATGGCTGTGACTGCAGTTGGACATCCTCCAAGTCCATGGCATCTCCAAACATTGCTACTGGTGAAAAAATGATGAGGATGCCTGTCCAGAGCAAGGCAGTTCACAGTGTCTGCAGCCATTGGAAGCATCTCTATCCCTGCTAGGTTGTGGGTTTTTTTCTGTTTAACGGAAGGTGTCCCGTTGAGATGGATATCACAATGTCATCCTCAAAGTTTTCCTGCATTCTTAAAGCCATTTTCACGCTGTGTGTAGATGATTTACCATACTGCTTAGAGACTTAGTATGGTCAGTTATTTTAATCTGCTAATAAAAGTATTTGTATTGTGGTAATTTCTTCAGTAAAACTAGTCAAGCTATCTTTCCAAAGTAGTTGGTTGCTTCTGCTTCTTATAATCCTCTTCTATGAATGTGCTGCTTTGTTTGTGACCTGAAACAGTACAATACCAGAATTGTAAGTGATTATGATTACTATCTAAGTATTCGTATTTCTAGTCTTGTGCTACACGGCATCCTTGATCTCCATAGCCCTGTGGAATATAAGTCTTTATTCCCTTCGCTAAGGTATCTAATCTTGCTGGTGGAGGGGTGGGGACCCTCTTTCTCACTACTGCAAAGTGGTGATGTTCCTCCTGTTCCCCAAGGAAGTGTCAGAATAGGAAGCAAAGCAGATGTTTTCACAAGGTAAGGGAGGACAGGTGGGAGAGAATCCAAAGGGGATGCTGAGGGGAGAGGTCCCACAGGGAGGGTAGAGCTGCCAGGGTAAGAAACAGGAGAGGGATCTCTGCTCCTCTGCCCAGCCTCCCGCAGACCTCACTGATGGCATGTCCAAACGTCACGCCAGGGCTGGAGATGCTTTCACTGGGATCTCACAGATTTCAGTGTCAGGCAGTGGAATGTTCTCTGGCCATGGCCCCAGCGTTAACCGTGTTGCTTTGTTTACTCTAGATACACTTTATACTGCTGTTCAGTCGGCAGGGGAAGTTAAGGCTTCAGAAATGGTACACGACGCTACCTGATAAAGAGAAGAAAAAGATCATTCGAGAAATTGTTCAGATTATTTTGTCTCGCAATCAAAAAACAAGTAGTTTTGTTGACTGGAAAGACCTCAAGCTTGTTTACAAAAGGTGTGAGTAATTTTATGAGAACATATAATTACTATTCATATAAATAACACATGCTAGAACAGGGAAAATAAAGGCTCACTTTAAGAAAAACAGCATACAAAACACTAAGTGCTAAGCTAATAGGAGCCTGCCACCAGCAAGGTAACTGTGTGTAACAGCACAGTGTCCCTGGATAAATCGGCAGTGCAAATTGCGGGTGCAGACTACTTACACAGTCTGTCAAAAGAGAAAAAAGGGAATAACTTAATATTGGTGATTGAAATTTTGTTAGGAGGCTTTAGGCTTCACTGCTCCCTATTCCCCAAGGCAGCCTGCTGAGACATGCTGGGCTTTTTCAGACTCTTTGGGTGGTTGCAGGAACTGTTCTGAGGCAATTTCAGCATTGTGTCATATTTTGTCTTTGAAATATTTGTTGCTCCAGAAGGTGTTAATTCCCATTTCCTTTTCCAAACAAATCACTGGTCCCCAGCTACAGAATGCTAAGTGTTCACTGACTGTTAATTCTTGTAAAGTTGTAGCAAACAACAGTAGCCTTAAGGTATAACACACTACAAATTAAGCAGTATCTCCCATTTAGCAAAAATTAGAGTTCCCTGCTGTGACGGATGTAAGCATCTGACTAGATGATGTGACAGATTGAGCCTCTAGCCACAGCACCAGAGAACTGGTGTAGATCACTACTCTCATCTTGGGTTGATTTAAACAGAAAGTTTTGCTGCCAGTTTGTCATGAAGATTGTTTGGTTTAAGCAGTTTCATACCTTATGTAAAATACTGTCAGTCATTTGATGGCTGGTAGCCTTCCACCTTTATTTTTGCTTTCATTTTTGTTAATAAAGACCAGTAACACATTCTGCAGTTTAATTAACCCTGCTTACTGTGGTGCTATTGCAGCAGGTGAGTAGTACTGATTTCCTGTGAGGTTTGTTAAGACCAGTGTTGGAGGCATCCCACTTTGCCAAGAGTGGAGTTTGTTCTTCTAACTAAATTAATAATTCCTTTAAATTATCTTTTTAAGTGTTCCTGGGACGCTAGAATAAAAGTGTGTTATTTTAGAGACCAGATAGACATTAACTGTCATTTATGTAACTTATAAGAGACAGAACAGAGCACTGAGGATCCACTCTCACATTTTTGCCTTTGTTTCCTTAGGTATGCTAGTTTGTACTTCTGTTGTGCAATAGAAGACCAGGACAATGAACTCCTGACACTAGAGGTCGTTCACCGATATGTAGAGCTTCTGGACAGATACTTTGGAAATGTAGGTTTCACTTTCCCTTATGAACTGCATTCCTGGCAGTCTGATAAACAGTTGTCTGAAGCTTTTTTACTTTGTGTTTCTATCTGCACTATTTGCCCTGTAGTCTCTTTCAATCCAGAGTGATCTCATTAGTAGAGTATTTCATAAAATAGTGCTTAAAACTATCAGAAGATAGTTTTAAGTTTAAAACTATCAGAAGATAGTTTTTCCACCACAACCTTCCCCTAGTTAATCTTCATACTTTGTAAGTTTGTCTTGGAATAGTATTTGAGGGGAAACTTGAGGAAAGTTATTTCAGTCCTGCGTGACAGTGCTTTAGTTCTCTTTCCTGACATCTTCAGGTACACTGGTTTTGTTTGTTTCTTTATATCCTTCACTGTTACACACTATTAAGAAGAAAAAGTGGGTGTTTTTCTTAAAGAAAAATCTGAAGAAGGTTAAATAAGTCTTTAAAGACTGCAACAGACCCATCTTTTCTATGAATATTCTTGAAATAGTTCCCACTACCTTAATTCATCTCTTATTTAAATCACTGTGCCATGACTCCTGTTTGTACCACCTCAAAACAAGAAAGCAGTTGGTGGTGCAAGGTCACTAGGACAGGGAATTTGTCTTGCTCTGTGAAACTGTGCATGAACATATGTAACCCATATTACAAGTGCTATATGAGACCTACTGTAAGGTTAGTAGGCTAGGAAGTCAGCTTTGTTCTCTGAAAACTGGTATGAATGTAGTGTATTATATAAAATATAAGCAGAATATCTTTGCTGTAAGTCTAGACTATTTGTATGAAGAGAATTGTGGGTAGAAGCTGTGATATTACATAATAAGCAGTATTCTTCATCCTCCTAACTGCCACAAGAGTGTATATGTTGAACAAGTTTGATCATCTTAACAACTTTTGGCCCAATAGTGATTCTGATGCTACAAAAGTGATTTCAATGTGGGGTGTTCCTTTATTCTGGCAGGTGTGTGAGCTGGATATTATCTTTAATTTTGAGAAGGCTTATTTTATTCTTGATGAGTTTATAATTGGTGGAGAAGTACAAGAAACTTCAAAGAGGTCTGCAGTGAAAGCCATAGAAGACTCTGACATGTTGCAGGAGGTAAGGCAGAGGAAGACAAAAGACAAATACCTCATCTTCTTACATCTTCTGTGTTTCACAGAGCTGAAAATATGGTTAAGCACATCTGAGGACTACCTAAATGTGACTTGTGTTCAGTTTCAATAGTTACAACAATGCAATTAAGATAGCAGTTACATAAGCTTTCAATTCTACCTTCTTGCATCTTGTGGAATCACCAGGAGGCTCTTTGTATACTGGTGTTGCTGTCTTGCAGTTTAACTGCTAAGGTTTCTTGGATATTATATTAAGAAACTGTTTAAGACATATCTTGGATATTTTTATAATACAAGAACATAGTCTACGATTATATTGTATGTATACATATGTATATCTAAATACAGAAAAATATGTTTCATTAATATATTGGAAACAGATGACCTACTATTAACATTTAAAACTGGAAAGAGTAAGTGCTGGCAAACTCCACTGTCATTCATAAACACCTGGGTAGATTTTCTGCAGGACACAGTTATATGAAACCTTTATTCAGACCCCTGCAGGATTGTCTTGTAATATACTGCTGAGCCAGGAATGGCAAAAGCACTTGAATGTGATGGATTTTCTTAATTTCTTCCTAGGTAGTGAAGGATCCATTGTAATACTGAAGGGAACAGCATGCTGGTAGAACTAGCTAGGGACACACTGTGTGAGTCAAAGAGTTTTTCACAGTGGTCTGGCATTTGCATATGAAACTAAGCCAGCTAAGTAGAAAGGCCTATACATGATGAGTTTAGCCACAACTGTGATATGTCATGATTTAAAGATCAGATTCTAAAATGCTGTAAAATGTTTTTAAAGCAGAATTATTTCCACATTTTAATTAATCTGATCTAATTCCATGCAAAACTATATTGTCTGTAAAGAGGAGAAAAGGTTTGATTTGAGAGGTTATTGTACTGTTCCATAATGCTCCATCAGTTGACTCTTCTTTTTTTCTTTCCCCAGACAGTGGAAGAGTACATGAACAAGCCTGCATTTTAATGTTACAACTGCCTGGAGAGAGAACTGCTGTATGCACCTGTAAACTGTACTTCCTAAAATTGCTTCCCAATGTGCCAGAGCCTCAGAGAAATACCAAAAGCAATAACTAAGGGGTTTGTTTGTATAATTGTGAAGATGAAGGTCAGCCAATGTAGCAGAGGGTTCAACAATTCTGTACTTGCCTTACTCTGCATATGAGTTTCTCAGAATTGTTATTACCCTTCATGTAGTTTCTCTTCTCCTTGCTGGACTAAACACTTGTTTTGTACCATGCCTTTTAGCTACTGGTTTTGTCATCATAAAATGTTACTTTGATGGTACTTAGAAGTATTTTTACTACTTTTAGTCCATTGCTGACCATATGACTCTACTTTTGTACAAATGTCCATTATTTTGAATGTAATGATTATTCTGCTCTAATAATAATTTTTCCAAAAGCCAAATTGTTGTGGGCCTTGATTTCACAAGCGTATTTTGAAAAGATTAAACCATCTAGTTTAGGCAGAAATGTGCTTCTCTTTGGACCAAGCCCCTTTCTTTCCCTATCTTCCTTCTATTTTCTGCTCTAGTCTGCTAATAAGACTGCTCCAACTGCTACTAGCATGCACACCACACCTCTAATCTGGAAGGCTGTTCTGACTCAAGGTGGGCTTATCCCAGGTTTAATAAATCCTTTTTGCTGCTGCATACAGATGGCCTCTTTCTGTCTTTCTCCTCATTTTCCTGTCCCCCTCCTAGGTTCCCTGAACCTGAACAAAGGCTGTAACCTTTGGAAGTGTGCAGCTTGAGAGCAAGGAGATGTCCAGAAGAGAAGAAATTAGTCTTTGGGATTCATTGATTGCACAGGTTTGCATTTCCCTTCGGCATAGATTTTCTTTGATTTCTGGGATGTACAGTTGGTATTTTCCTTCAGGGATGTCCTTCATTCTTACTCCTGCTCTTTCATTGCTCCTTCCTTCCCAGTCTGTCTGTATCTTCCTGTAGTGAGGTTTGGGGTTTTTTTGGAGGGTGGGAGCACTTTGACATAACATGACAACTTTGTTAATTGTCAACCCGGTTTTCTGCCTGTTATCTAGTCTGTTAGTAAAACTGTTACAAGCTTGCTCATAGCATCATGATGCTCTTATTATAATTACTTTATCCACCTGTTTTCTCTGTATTGATGTCAAAGGCATACTTTCAGCACCAAAAAAATGGTGAAACTGCTGAAGGGCTTTCAATAGCTCTGAAGACCTTCAATTTAGTAGTAAATTAATGAAATTGTATGAGTTGTATATTATTTTCTCATGGCTTGAAATGAAGTTGTTTTTTTTAAGTAGCATTTAATTGATTAAGGAGCCACTTTAGAACATGCAGAGACTCTTTCCGCCCTTTACTTTTATAAGTGTCTTTTATTCGGTGAAATCATCAGTAGTTTCATTTGCTTTTACTCCTCCTTTTTGGAACCACACTGTGATTTTCTGACTCTTACAATTCTTGTGTGAATTCTGGAGTATATGAAAATAGGAGTTCCAAAAAGAAGATTTCTTGGTATGAATAAAGATATCTTAAGCTTTTTTCTTCAGTCATTTGAAGAAGAGCTGTAGGACTTCTTTGTCTCTTGTTTTAAATGAAGAATTCCTTATGAAATACATTAGCTAGGGGTACTTATGCCAGCCATGTCAGTATAGCATCTAAAATACGTAGCATTACCAAACTGATGTATCCAATGTCAACTTGAGAAGTGTGATGAAATTAGTATAGCTTCCTTGCCCTTATGCAGAAGGTCATTGGAATATGCTGCACCTGTTGTGCCAACTGCTTTTATACGACAAAGTTGGATGGAAGTACGTGTTAGGTACTCTAAAGAACTGCTTGATTATATTTGTGGTCTAAAAAACATCTACAGATTCCTGTTGCTTTTGCCTGCAGATGGGCTACACAAAGTAGGTAGGTGGGTGTTACTTAATGTGACTTTTGCAAATGTTGGTGTGTATGTATAGTATACCTATGATATAGGACAGATTGGTTTGAAGCAGCAAACTTGTATTTATACTTCTTACAACCTTCAGTGAGAAGGAGGTCACTCACCTAAGTGGCATTACAATGGCATTCAGCTCAACCCAACTCTTCTCCAAAGGGACAAAGCCCAGATGAAACCCAGTTATTGTCAGATTGCCTTTAGGTCACCGTGTCAAAATGCCTGTGCCTGCCTCCATCTTTGCGGAATTCCATTGCCGTCAACAGGACTCTGCATAATGTAGTGCGTTGAAGAGTATAAGTCATCAGAAGACTTAACGCCTCTCCTGATACCTTAGTTCTTTGATTTTTCTTAAAACTGGTGATGCATGTATCTTTGTATATATTTACAAATCTCTCTGCAGCATTGCCCATTTCAGTTGTGTTTGCTGTTGATGTTTCTCTTTCCAACTTCCCTGACTCTTCTAGGCAATGTTCAATGTAAAGTTTTGTGAGACTACTTTATGAAATTATTATCAAGAAAGTTTTAGAAAGCAGGTTCCTTAATGGTTTTCCCAATCTCACTAACCTCTTCTGCAGTTACCTAAATTCTCACCTTGTTGATGAGCTTCAAGCACATACATCCTAGTTTGCAAAATTGCATTTACTAAAATAATCATTAATCATAGTCATGTTGCTAACCTAGATTCTCTTCCTTGCTTCTGCCAGCTGTATCTAGCAAAAAACTGCTTGGTTTTTCTTATTAGCATCTCTGCCTGAAGGATTCTTGCTGTGATGTTGCTGCTTACCTGTTGTGACAGGGCTGGTTCTCTATCATGCAACTATTTGCAATTCGTGAGTTTTGACATCATGACAATTAAAAAGCGAGAGACAGACACTGACTGGGATAAAAATAAGTGTAATAATGTCAAGAGGAATAGTAGAACTATGACAAATTATTATGAGTGAGAGATAGGAGTGACGGGATCTCAGAGGATACATGAATTCTTCACATTTGTTTCTTTTTTCATGAGGCATTTCTGACTGTGGTGTCAACTCTTATGAATAACTATAGGAAAATTGACATTCAGATTACCTCCTGTAAACCTTTATTTAACAAAAAGCCACTGGAAGTGAATCTTCAACACCTCCTTCTAGCTGCTCCTACGTAAAACCTGTGTTTTATAAAGTTCTGTGCTTTCAGAAACCCAGATAGGAAACAGTGTAAACTATAGGTATGGTTCTGTGTCTGCATGTAATGCTGAAATAATGTTGTACTTATGAAAGGATGAATTACTCCCCGCCCCCATTAATTTACAGTCCTTTCAATAGATAACACCTTTTTTACACTGCTTAGCACTGTGTGTGTTAGAGTGATACAGCATTCAGTAACAGTACATTAGTGGTCAGGAGGGCTTGGTTTTATAAGGAAGGTTCAGAGGAGTTTAACAATGTGAGTGAAAATTTAGAAGATACCCAGAGACATTCAATCAACAAAATAACAAGGCTCAGTACAGTTCACAGATAAAAAAAACCCTCTCTGTGCCTCTCCATGACATTCTGCTGCACTGAAAATGTGTTGGAAAACATTTCTGTTAGCACAGCTCCTCTGTGAGGAGAGACATTGCTCTCGGCCTGCATGAAATGACTAAACCCAAAGGTCTTTGTTCTGCAGTTAAGCCCTATGGTGGGATTTTCATTAACTTTCTTTGATGCCTCCATGAGTGTGGAGTCTGCATCATCATCTTACATCACTGTATTTTTGCTTTAGATGGCTGCCAAGAACTTGTGAGCTCAGACCAGGTAAAAGCATCCTTCTGGGGAATTTGATGACATTCCCACTGAATGCAGTAGTGTGCATGCTCCTTAGCGAGATTCATAGTACAGGTAAGATATAGCTATTGATTTAAATGTCTATTAGTATTTTTCAGGGATTTCATGAAGCAAGCGGGTCTAGGTTGAAGTACAGTAGTGAAAGCTTAGTGCTTACGGCAGAAATAACTGCTGCAAGAGACTTAATGTTTGCTGTCATGGAAACCTGTAGCCTTGGAACATGACTAATGAGACCCAGGCTAAGGGAAAGGGAGAAGCTGTTCTTGAAATTACTGTTCAGCGAACGCTAAGGAAGACCAATAATATGCATTATCATAAATTACAGTTGTTTCAAGTTCTGTTGTCTAGTCCACTTAACCTTGTCTTTTTATTTACTTACTTTACAGCTCTTGTTACCACATGTTTTCTTACAAAGAATGTTATAAGATAGTTCAAAGCTAATCCTTTGCCCATCTAGAAATAAATAGCATCTTATTTGCATTCCACTTTCCCAGGACACTACAAAATTTGGCTGACTTTTGTGGAAAGGACACACTAGAACCAAACTTGTGGCTGGCCTGGAGAGCCCCAATAAGCTGAGAAATAGTTAGCAGTTTAGCTGGGATTTTTGCCTTTGGTTGTAGTTGTATATTTTAAAGACAGTCCACATACATGAGGTAGGCAACATTTCTGTGTACAGATCCATATGGAAAAATCCAATTACCCCTGTGTTTTAGTGCAGTAAGATTCCTACTTTCCTAAGCTGAAAGGAAACTTGGTTGGGGGAACATGTAGAAGGTACCTTAAAGTTTACTTTACCCTTAAAGTTTACTTTACCCTTCTGCCATCTCCTTTTAAAATTCTCACTGAGAATTCTCCTCTCTTTCAAAGCTTCCTGCTCCAAACCCAACATCTCCCATTACACACCACAATCTGCAATGGAGAATAGAGTGCTGATGGATTTTTCCTGCAAAGGTGAGCTTTCTGTGTCTGTTGTAAAAAACAATGCTGAATGTAGAATCCCTAGTGGCACAGGGTGACAAATTCATTACATCCACTTGCTGTGGATCTCAGTTGCTCTGTGGATCAGGATTGTGCATGAATAAATTGCCAGCAGCTCTGTGAGTCTCTCTGCTGTGTGGTGATCACAATTCAGGGTCCTCCTGAAATCTAACAGTGAGGAGTCAGCCTCAGCTGAGCCAAGCCAACAATGACACATCACAGAGGAGTGTCATCTTCACAGAAGTTTCAGGTGAAAGAATATGTTCTATTTTATTTCTCGAGAGGCCTTGGGGCATGGTCCTAGGTGAGTATTACCCTGGGTTACACCTCTGAAAGAGAAATCTTGACAATGTGGGAGGAAAGGAGTACTCTGGGGAAAAAGGGAAAAAAACTGACTGGGTTTGGAAGCTGACAGCTGCAACTGGGGCAAATGAGGGTTTTTTCTGGTGTCTGTTGTCAGTGACAAGGTGGTCCTTGTTCTCAGAGGAAAAACTGGCTTGGGTAATCAGTTCTTGTTTGGCAAGGACTGACACAGCGTTGTGTTGGCAATGATAGGAATGTTCTGGCAAAAAAAAAGGTACTGCAGAGGGCAATGAAATATAAATTATTTTTAAATGCAGTAATAAAACATTGATTCATTTTGGCTGGGTTAATATGAGGAAACAGCAACATTAAAGATGACAGTTCTGAGTGATGATGAAATTAATTAGTATGTCAAAAATGTTATGTCATAATCTATACTCTTGCATTTATGTTTGAACCTGGCATAAGAGTGGAAGGACTATAACATCAAGAAATCCTGTGTATCCTTTGGTCCCAGGCAGGATCTGAGTGATGTTTTTCTAACTTCATTAAATCAGCCTGTGGTGGAGACCCCAAAATGTTCTTGGACAGTCTGCCCTGACAATTCCCTCAGTTGAAATTCTCTTCCTGATGCCAACTTCTTTAGTGTGACACAAGCCTAGTACTGCTTGTGATATCAAGGATCAATATAGAAATACCTGGTTACATTTTTCTTTGCAGCAGCCTTATAAGGGATTCTCTGTTTTGCTGTCTAACTCCCAGGTAGTGCTTAGGGAGTAATGAAGTACAAGGACAGCTGTGCCTTCACTGGGGGGGGGGATGGTACTGGTTGGTTTTACTCTTTATTCTGTTATATGAACCGTGTTGTGGCTCATTGGTAGTTGATCAGAAAATTGAAATAGCAGATAAATTGATGAAAACCAGAAGCACAATCATTTTCTTTTTCTATTTTCTTACACTCTGTAACTGTTTGTAACAACTGTGCATGAGACCTGAATTCAGAAAGTACTTTAGGGTGTCCTTTATTGCAAGCATGCAAGAAGCTCAGACTGCTTTAACAGGGCTACCTGCGTTTTTTCAGGTTTAAATTGCTCCCCCTGCCTTGCTTGCTCAGCACTGGGAAAACAGCTGTTTCTGTTTAGGTGTAGAAAAGGGGAGTTCTCTTCACTGTTGCATGCTTTAATATAAAATTAATGAGAAATAAAGTTTGCTTTAATTTGAACAGGTAATGGCTGTTGTGGGAAGTTCCTGCACATCATTTTCTTGCCTCTGTCAGGCAGGGCTCTTCTGAGAGGAGGGGAAACTTAAAAGATGGGTATATTTTGAAGCCAACGCAAACTGGGAAGGGGGAGGCATTACAAAAGGGATAACTTGAGCCTTGCCTGGCTTCTCTGCTGGACTGCTGGGTCAGCGGGGCTTCGGCAGTCAGTGATGTGCTTCAGCTGTGCTGAAGTGGGCACAGCTGGACACAGCTGTACCTGCGGCAGGGGCCAGGGCTCAGCCTGATGCCTGCGGAGGGGAAGGAGAGGTTCTGTACTCACATTACTGTGCCTTTTCTGACCTCACAACACAGTGCAGGCTGGGCTGCTGCTGCCTGGCAGGCTGGGGCAGAAATCGCCTGTGCTTTGTGCTTGTCCTTTGTCCCTGTGCTGTCCTTCTACGCTGCAGGGTCCCACAGAGCATCCTGCTGGGGAGATCTAGGAAGCACAAAAGCCTTTGGTCTAACTTGCTTTTGCGGCTGCAGTGAGGGCTGGTCTGGAGCTCAGACCTGGTTCAATGCAACATAGCTGTGCTACACCTAGGACTCAAGTGTCAAAAAAATGTATCAACTAAAAATGTTTCTACTCCAAAGGGTTAGTGTTTCACTGCATGGGGAGGGCCTAGAGCACACAGAGACAGCGGATCTCTCAGGCTGGTGGTGGTCGCGTTAGTCCATTCAGCAAGTAAGCGTCTGATCAGTGTCCCAAGCCTCTGCGCTGGCTTCCAGAAGAAATGGGAGATTAAATCCTTTGAGACATCAGGAATAGTGGACTTGTACAGGGTTTGCTGTTGGTTGACTTGTCCTACCATACACTAACAAACAAAGCAGCCTGTGCATCCTGTGCTAATAAGGTTTCCTAAATATTACAGCCATGTTGAAGCATCCAGTTCTCTCCTAAATAATGGAAAAAATCTGAGACCCTAAATATTTGGAGATTACTCCAGTAAAAGGAAAAAATAACAGAAAAGCAAAGGGGTGCTTAGTGAGAGAGGACAGCCTCTGATTTCCTTCTGTTCCTTAATGAGATGTGCTTGTAAGAACGTACTGATGGCAAATATATGGTTATTGGGAGTGATTCGTGTCAGCAATTCGGGGGTCCTAGTGATCATTGCACTTTGCGTGGAGATGGAATCCCTTGTGATCATTGTGCTATGTGCAAAGGGTATGATAAGTGTCCCTGTCAATACCACAGTGAGGAGGAAGAAGAAACAAGGGAATAATTCCCCTGGGTCAACCGCAATATTGTGCAAAGAAATGTTTTGTTCATTGTTTAAATTGCATGAATGTTCTTAGAAAAGGGGGGGGGGGGTAGGTAACTTAGAGATATGTCCTGTTACAGAACATTGTGAAATCTGTGCGCTGAACAAATAAACACATAAGGAGTGGAATTTATGGGGGCTAAGATGGCGGTCAGACCTGTGATAGACATAATATTTCTTCACCCAGAGACAAGACCCCAACAACAGGTGGAGAAGCCCAGGAAAAGAAGACAACAGGATTGGCTGAGGAAGCCCGGGAAACCAAAAAGTATAAGAGACTATCCCCAGAAGTTCCCTGTGTGCGTCTTGGGCGGAGCGGAGACTCCCCGGTGAACCCAGTGCTGCTTGCTTATTGTCTCTCGATATTAATTATAATAAAAATCAATTAAAACAGATTGGCTAGGTTTTTATAACATCATTGTTTTAAACTTACAACTTTCTGCAGCTGCAGAAGGCTGTATATGGGAGGCCAAGCAGTAATAGTGCGACACACGTAAACAGGAGTGAAAGTGCTCCCTTTCTGCTCCAAGGTGATGCTGGCCAGGAGAAGGAGGGAGGTCCTCCAGGGTTGTGGCATGATGCTTCCCCTTTGCACAGGTCGGGGCAGCAAGACATCTCTTAGTCAGGGATGGCTGCCAAGAGCATTAGAGAGGTCCTCAGTGCCAGCTGGTGGCGGGAGTGAGGGCAGCCTCTCCTGCCTCCAGTGCTTCCATTAACTCCCCTTCATTTCACATCTCTTCCTTTATCTACTCACTTTTAACTGACTTTCCCCAGAAGGAATGAAAAGGTTTTTATCACCAGGGAAGACAGAGCAGTGGAGCCCAGGGGCTGTGTTCTGCTCAGTCCTCAGTTCCTTCTGCCAGCACTTCTGCAACCTTTCCCTTCCTTATACTTTCTGTCTGTTTCTGCCAAGAGTGCAAAGTCTTTTAGAAAGCCTTGTTTGAGGAATGACTGCGTTTCTGGTATTGTATTCCTCATTTCTCCTTCTAAGTAATTGCAATGCTCAATTTAGCTCAGATGAATTCTGCAATACAGTGATGTTTTACATAGTGCATTGCTATCACTAAGTAAGATGGTAGCTAGGCACTTTTTCAAACTGAAACGTTATTTAGGGTCTAAACTTGAGATTATGAGGTATGTGCAAAATTCAGGTCTATTGGTACTGCATTGCTAAGTGATTCTAGAAAGATAAGCAGTAAGAGTATTTTCACTCCCATTTTAGAGTGCTCTGTTGTCCAGAGCTAACTCAGATACCCAGGGGCCATTTTTGTTGTGAACTTTCCATTTGCTGCATATCTGAGAAAACAACTTCTGATTTGGCCTGCTGGTAGACAGGGACCCCACGGAAAATCAAGCAGTCAAACAGAGAGAGTCAAGGCTGAGAATACTCAGAAAGCCGAAAGGTCGGACAATGAACTAATTTCAGCAAAATGACATCAAGATTATGTTGATTTATATAATTATTTTTATTTGAAAAGTATGTCAGGCAGAGGCTTGTGTGTTACACTGTTTTTTCTGCGCCTTTTCTGTCATGTATGTTTGGTCAGTCATTTCAGTCATCCTTGGGCTTTCATAGCGTATCTGTGGCCTGAACAAGTAGCAGGGGAAGCAGTGCAGGTGGGAGCGCAGCCATACGCAAGCAGCACTTTCCAGCTCTGGCACAAAGCCCGAGTGTGTGGATGTGCCCCACGTTGCCGTGCTGTCTTTCCAAACCTCCATTTTACCCCTTAATTGACTGCCTTTGCTGAAGAGATTGAGCTAACAGCAGTATTTCTGCTTCCAGCACCGTGCTGGGGGAAGTCAGTAGCAGGCTGTAAGCGATGCTGCCCTCCAGGCAGCCGGGAACATGGAGCTAAATATATCTCCTGTCCCCTGCTGTGGCCCTTTGCAGCTCAAGAACAAGTGGTTGCAGCCTGGGATGCGCTGCTGCGGGAGCTGGGCTCCGAGGAGACCGAGGCTTGGCTTTGCAGCCTAAAGCTAGCAGAGAAAGTGAAACATCACAGATGCCAGTAATTAATCCCATGTAAGAGAAGAACTCAAATTACTCGGCTTGTTCTCCTCTTCATTGCTTTGCACAGTTTCTGAGTAAAATGCTGTTATCCATGCGACAGAAGGATTTGCCGTCTGGATTAAAAATCTGAATTTTAACTACACAGAAACAGCCCCTTTCTAGATTACTTCTTCTGCTTCTATCTTTCATGGCAGTGGGCCCACGTTTCTGACAAAGACAGAGGATCATGGCTGCGTTCACGTATCTTTTTCATGTCTGCACATTTCAGCTTAATTTTAGCCAGGCACAGAGGCACGGGAAAGGTCTTGAATTTGGCAGCACTGACTTGATGCTGCTTCTCTACATGTCTGTTTGGGCACCCTTATCGGGTGTTACTGGGAAGTATTGTTTGGGCAGTTTCAAGGACTGCTTAACAGCTACTTTGTAGTGTGTAAACGTCTTGTGAAAGTACTCCCACCCCGTTCTGAGCATATTGAGAGCTACGATGGGTGCTCACTGCTTGCCAAGCTCCACTGAGCGGGGCAACGCTCCTGTGAGATGCAGGAGAAGGGCTTCCCAAAAGGCCTAATTCTGGGGGTTTGTTTTGAGTCGGTATCTAATAAACCAGCTTGCCTGAGGAGGTACCTGGTTTTATGTTTCCAGTATTCACCAGAAAAGTTTACCCTTTGAAGGAGCTGTCAGTGCAATGTGCATGGTGTAACTCTTGAGGCAGAGATGACCCCTGACCAAACCCCGTGTGTTTGGGAGGAAGTTCAGGCTGTTATGCTGATACCTTTTTTTATCTTTTTAATGAAACCTCCTTCCTGCCATTTCAGAGGAGAGGAGGGTTTGACGTCATGTGCTGATGAGTCACTGCTTTTAACAGGCCAGCAAGTGAGGATTGAGAGTGCTGTCTGGAGCAGCTGCTTTGTTAATCATTCACAAAAAGCCCAGAGAAGGCTCAAGGGGAATGCTTGTGAATAATTAAATTTCTGTTTTCATTATGGAGACACAGTTGACTTACCTGGATCTGCTAGGATCCAGGTATTGGGAAGGGAGGGAGCAGGACAATGATCTCACTGATTTATTGATACCACTGTAAATAGCTTTTGGATAGTCATCAGTGTCAGCCAAGCATATACATGATTTAACAGTTTCATGCAAAGCTTATGTAATATAGCTCTGACCGTCAGCTACATCTCACTTGCTGCAACTACTTCAACCATTGGGTATGTTTTCTAGAAGAGAGTTCTTTGAGAAGCAAATACCCTTGATAGGGCAAGACAAGGATTTTACTGGAAGGCTGGAGATCTGGAGTATCTCGTAGCCTGAAGTCATAGAATCATAGAATAGTTAGGGTTGGAAAAGACCTTAAGATCACCTGGTTCTATCCCCCCTGCCATAGGCAGGGACACCTCACCCTAGGCCATGTTGCCCAAAGCTGTGTCCAACCTTGCCTCGCACACTGCCAGGGATGGAGCATTTGTCACTTCTTTGGGCAACCTGTTCCAGTCATATATTCTTAAAGGAAGCAGATTTGCCCAGGTTTGTTCACTGATGGTTCTCCTGCTCATAAACAGCTCCTGGGGTTGACTCCATCGTTTTGAGCTAGTGCTGAATCAGTATCTTGGCAGGATAAATTGCACTCATCCTTGTTGTGATGAGCTTCAAACTTCAGTTGCCAATACACGATGACCAGAAAGTTCATCAAATTCTTCTTTGGATGAGTAGGACTGTTATTTCAGACAAGGTCCAAACTGGATAAATTCTTACATGGTGAATTATTCACTGCTCAAATCTTCCATTTGTAGGTTGTTTAGGTGTCCTAGACAAGAGCTGCTGCCTTTTACCCAGCGGTAGAATAAGACAGGCAGTTTTATTCCCAGAGCAATCCTACCCCCTAAATGGTGAGTTGAAGCTGCCTTAGAACAGAAGCATGCCACTTGGCTTTGACAAAATGTCAGATTCAACTCCACCTACACAGCTGTAATGCTGGGACCATTAGAGGAGTGGGATTGCCTGCAAACATTTAATTACCTATACCATGTGAGTAGGAAGTTGTTATTCTGGCTGACAGAGGAATAATGAGGAATAAAAACACATTATGAAAACATTTGAATCTGAAGAATCTTTCTGTCTTTGGGCATTGTTTTAATGGATTTATGATACCCCACTGATGTGTGGGCAGAACCCAATTAGTTGCAGACACTGAAAGAGTAAACTTTTCAATAATTTGTTGAGAATGGAATATTTTTTTCTTCCTTTAGCACTAGTGGCTAATTTACTGCATATTTGTCTTCTTTAACTGATTAGTAGAAAAGCTTAACTGATTGTGTCAACTTCTCCATACACACATTAGCCCCAAATTCTAAAGCTTCTTACCACAGTAAAACTCACTTACTCAGCGGGCTGTGCTATTCTTGATAGATGGAAAAAAATATTAGTAGATGAAACCAGATAGTATCACTGTGGAAGGAAGAGTTGTCCTAGGAATGCAATAGCTGATGATTTGCCATTTCTGTAATGAGACAACTTCCAGAGCCCATTTCTCAGTCTGCACCCAGTCTGGACCCTTTCAGAAGAGTTGGCTTCCCTCCCTGAGCAGGTACATGTTTCCTGGTGGGGCAGGAGAGGGGGCTGGCTATTTAGATGTTTAGGGGAGGCAGCAAAGGACCAGCAGAGAAGATATGTGAAATCTTATGGGGGGAGCAGCGGTTTCACTGGAATGGGTTGAAATTTGTGATGCCAGCAACATGTTGGCTGACTGTTCTGAGCTGGGAAACAAGAACCAGAAGGATGGGGAGAGAGGTGGGCTAACTAAGCAGCTGAGCTGTAGCTCTTCTGATGAGCAGCAGAATTAAATGTAGGCCAAAGGAATGCTAGAAAGGCTTCTCTGCAGAACTGGCTTTGGTGGAGAAAGCAGGTGGTCCCTGCTGAGGAGTTCAGGGATGGCTGAACTGGCTCGCTCTCAAGAGGACCAGAGATGAACCTAAGTAAGTTGTGGGTGCTGGGGCTGGGATAGCTGATGTGTCAGTGTGGTGAGTTTGGGGTTTTTAAGGTTTCTGTGCTGTCTGTAAGTAAATGAGAGATGATGGGTGAACCTGGGTCATCGCACAGCACAGGAGACCAGCCATGGAGATGTAAACAAATCAGGACTGAAGCACGAGAACAGTATGTGAAAACCAGTAATGCTGTGCCCTTTTCACCAGGGTGACCTTGTATCTATCAGGGGACATGGGAGGGAAAAAATTGATCTTAGAATTTGAATTTAGAGCAGAAGCACTGAAGAAATTGTCAGTGAATGGGTTATATTCAGTTTTTCAGATCATTGCCATGCTGTAGTGAATAGTGTTGTCTTTGCAAACCCATGAAAGGTATGATCAGAAGAGCTCAATTTACAGATGGTGACAATGGGAGGTTCTGCATATACCCTTTCCCAATCAATCGGAGATCATGAACCAAGTGTCTGTCTTCCCTGCCGAATCACAGCCTGAGAAAAAGGATGCCCAAGGATGCCTGGTTTGTAACTTTGGTCCTTTGGTACATCCTTACTGGAGTTCTTCTTTTTTAACTTCTGCCTTCTGAGCCTTGGAGATTCCTATGTTCAAAACCAATTCCTATTAATTTTAAGGCTTGGAGAAACTTGTATATTGAAAGCTGTGATCCACATAAATTGACAACATTATAGGTTTACCTAGTTTTACTAATTACTCCAGATATTGTAAGATTCAGTGTCATGAGCCACTGCGTCTGGGACATGGATAGAGCCCAGTTTGAATACCAGTTTAGGGTGGTTGTTTATACTAGCAGTAGAAAAGGTATCAGGAAAGCAAATTGTGTTGTTTGCAGATGGAGTATATTTTGTATAGCATGCAATAGTAAAAGTCACCTTTCAGAGCAAAGTTGCTATTGAAAAGTTGAGAAATATGAAAAGTGGAGGAAATCAAGCAGGAGCTTACAATGTATGAGCCAAATCAAAAGGAGGAAAGCATTTAAAAAAAAAAACACTGTTTCTGAGGCCTCATGTCAAATGTTGACTCTACAAAAGATGTTTTTTTTTCAGTTGCTCATTAAAAAGGATCCTACTGAAGAGTTATTGTTCCCTGAGAAATCAGACATGTTGTGTGGGCAAACATATTAAAAAGAAAAGGATTTCCAGAAAGATGTGAATGCAAGAAAGCAATAAAACCTGAAGAGGTTATTAAAAGCCACCCAGAGAAATTGGCCACATGAGGTGTATTAAAAAAGACTGAGAAGCAATCGGCAACAAGAAATCTTCTGGGACACCAAAGCCTAAGAGTGGATGTTATCCTGATCACCTGGGAACCTCTGATCTCCCTCTCCTGGAGTCCTCACTATGTGGATGAAGACAACTGATGGCCTTTGATCTGATGTTCCTGCAGCTGGAGGCATTCTCAGTGGGAAGGGCTGGCAGATTTCAAAACAAGTTTTCCCTATTCTCCAGCCACATTTTTTCTCCTAATTGCAAAGCCAGCATGGTTTGTTTTGTTGGTTTTGTTGTTTTCTGAAATAACTAATTCAGCCAGCCATTAAATCTCTTGCTCTCTGTACACAGCAAAAAAATGTGAGTTTGTCTGGAAAAATAATAATTAGAGAAAGATTAACACAAGGGACCAAACCCATCTGCAATTGAATGATGGGCTCTGGAAGCGTTCACCAGCCCAGGTCAACAGTAAAAGGAAACTGTCCAGTGGGTGCAGATATAAATTGTGATCTCAGGTCAGTGTTGCAGGGGAAGTATAAGCTCTGTGACACTGAAGGGTGTGTATCCCTCCCACAGGCTCTCTCATCATAGCACAAGCCTGTCTGCTTGCCTGCCTTGGTGTTCATTAGCGATCACAGAGTTGTGGAGTAGGAAAAGCACAACTGGCTGCTGGTCAAATAATCAGATCTCTTCCCTCACTTCTGACCTCTCGATTTGTGCTCAGGAGAGCTCATGGAGACTTCTCAAACCTGCTGGGTCTCGAGGGCTGCAGTCCATATCTTATGTGGCATAAGCATCAGGGCATTTGTGTAATGCTGTAGCCTATTACTTTAAATGTGTCATTATTAATTATTGACAGAGCACTCACATACTGAATTGTGATATTTCTGCTCTTTGATTCTTCTATAAGAAAAATAACATTTTCCAAATTTAAACTTATAAAGCTTAAAGTTTTAAAGAGATGCCTGTTCTCCCATGCCTGTTTTCTTCTAAGGTCAGGAATAAGTTTCTCTTCCAGCTTCCATCCTTAATCTGGCACCATGCAATTTACAAAGGGCTCTATGTCCAGAGTAAGCTAACGTATCAGATGACTCCAATGCATCATCTACAAGCTGTTCTCACATGTATGGTACCAAAGGCAGAAGCAGTTCTGACTTTGGTGCGGTTACTCACTACTGCCTGCTTCTCAGACCTGAGTAGCAGGCATCCTCAGAATGATTCACGGCTTGAGACGATGCTTATAAAGATAAAATACCTGTTGCACCCGCTTCCCTGGCAGCCTGATCTTCCTGTCACGAGCATCATCCTTCTGTGCATTGCAGCAGAGATTCTGAATGTCCCTGTGAAGCTGCTCCGCATTTCGAGAGCATGGCACTTTGTCTCCTCAGAGAGACAAAGATGTGCCTTTCTCTTAGATCCCAGCCTACGGGAAAACAAGGTCAACCTGATTGTTTCAGAACAGATGGCTTCCTTCCATGTAGTGGCATTTCCCTGGCTAAATGGAGCCTGACTATACTCAAATATCAAATGCAGCTATATGTGGATTTATAAGTATAGTAGCAAATTACAAGGTTAGGAGAATTTAGAACTCTGAAAAATGAGCAATTTTTAAAAACAAAAAATCACTTTAAGTTACCAGTTTTCTTTATGTATAAGAGTCATCCTTTAAACTAAGCTAAGCTGGCAGGTAACAGGTTACTGCAGTCCCTCCTGGGGAAGGTTTTCAATGAAAGTTGACCAGAAGCAACCACACAGGAAGACCTTGGTGTATTCTGAGCCATCTTCCCCAGTGGAGCGAGGTTTTGTTGGGTTCTGTGGAAACGTGAGCTAAGCCACATCTGAGCTGGATGCTAAAACACAGGATTAACTGTGAAGCATAGGTAATGAGGCTAGAAAGTATCCGGGTAGGTTAACTGGACACAGAAAGACTAAGTTACTGTTCTGAGTAAATTCATGCTGTTGTCAGCTTTGCATACTTTTCCAGGTCCCAAAGAAATAATTTAGATTATATTAATTAATCATTTAAAATAAAACTGTGCAGGGGATAGAGGCTCATTCCAGCTCTGTTTTCTGTAGTTCCAAGAAATTGGGTGGCTGATTCAAGCTATTTACCCCTGTGCTAAAGAGTAGTCCTGGCAGCATGTGGGAGCCCTCCCTTTCCAAGGGTGGCAGGCAGAGCTCCCCATTCCAGCTTTAACTTATTGCCTCCTTTCAGAAAATACAGCAGAAATATAATCCAATCACTTTGGCGTTCAGAGGCCCTGGCTCAGTGTAGGGCAATCCAGCTCACTAACAGAGATGCTGCTTCGTGACTCATTTCCTCTCCTCAGCCACTGAGTCACTCACTGTCCATTCCTATTGCTAAAACTCTTTGAAAGAGTCTGAATGGATTCCTGGGCACTTGATGTTTTATCCACCTTTAGATGTGGAAGGAGGCACTTGAAGGCATGAGAGTTTGTTGCTGCCTCCAAAACACCACAAACTACTTTGAAATACAGACATACCAAGTGTATTTGAAAGCCTGGCTGAAAATCTTACAGGTGTTCTTTGACCAGTAGGTCATCACTAGAAAAGGACTGAACTGCAAATACAAGGATTTCACAGGGGTTCACAAATGAGCTAGGGCTGTAACTCTGTTTTGTCGCTTGGGCTTGCTTCCAGAACAGAACTCGGGTCTGGATCTTAAATACTGCCAGTCTTCTAAGTCAAGTACCAAGTTCAAGTGTACAGTCAAGCAAGGTCCTTGACCTAGGTATCTCCACTGTGCTTAGCCGTAGTTTCCATGCCTTTGTGCTTGTGCATATGTGCAGAAGGCTATCAGCCACCTGGAATGCCTCCACCCTGCCTGCTTGGCAGCCTGTCAGCTTCCCTGCCCAGGTTTCCTTCTGACTACATCTTTGCATTCTTCCTTTTTAGCTGCTGATTCTGCTTCCAGAAGTGCTGCCAGCTCCCTACAAGATTGTCTTGTCTGTCAGATTTCTTAGTGCTCATGTTGACTGCACCCCACAAGTCTCTCTGTCCAGCCGTGAGTCCAGAAACTGATGTGGTTTTCGGATTGAGCCTGCTCAACCTCTCCTCACATAAATCAATCCACACATGGCATGGGATCCAAGGTCTTTTACAAGCAAACCCAGTTCATTACAAAACAGAATCTTCTAAAACAAACACTTGTATTGAAAGATTTTTTTGTTTTTTTTTTTTACTCAAAGATTTTTTGATGTTTGGTTTGGTTCTGGGTTTGTATCATTTTTGTTTTTGTTTTTGTTTTTTTTTTGAGGGGGTGTGGTTTTGGGCTTTGTTGTTTTTTTTTAACCTTTATCAATATTAAAGTCATCCTGTTTTAATAAATTTAGGTTTTTCTCTTCTGAGATGGAAACTAATATAACACAGTAATTAGTATTCTGATAAAAATTGTTCACGTATTAAATCTCTTTACAAATCCCAGGGAACAAATACTAGCATAAGCATTCTCAGACTGAAAGGAAGCTCATTTATTTTTTATTTTATTTGGGCTGGCCAACCCCCCAAATTCATAAGTTTTCATCCTTTTTCTTGTGATTTGCTTACCTAAGGTAATAATTATGTAGTGACTTAATATGTAATATTCCTTCATGCTGACCTTGTACTTAGCTCCAGTAGTTCCAAAGGAGACCTCCCAACCTTCTTGGAGTAACCTGCCAGAAGGCAAACTCATTATTCATAGACCTGCTTTATGTAGGTGTCCTCTCTGCTCCCAAGTAAAAGCCATCCTAGCATGAGAGCTGTTGACCCCTTCCTTATACTTGGCAGCTTTCACCAACCCAACTGTTAGTCCAGAATACTTGGTTTTAGTTTTCATTTTGTTAAGTTCTGGTGGACATTCAAAGTGACCAAAAGGAGGCTGGAGCCATTGTTAAGCTGTAGAGCTCCTTCCTGGTCCTGTACTCCTGGGCTTGTGCCTAACCCACTGCACTACTACAGTGGCGGCAACCAGGAGCTTGGGCTGAGACCTTCATTTACCCAAGTAAGTTTAAACATCCCCCCTGCAATGAACATGCAAACCAGACTATTACTATAAGTAGACCCATTATGTGAGACAGCTAAAAAATTAGGGGAAACAAAACAAAAACCGGCTCCATAAGATCTGATTAGTAGTTTTTGCTCAAAATTGCTGGCAACACAATGATTATGTGTTGTTTCATAAAAATTGGCTGAGACTAAATGACTGAAGCTGAGCAAGGATTGATGTGTATGCTTAATTTACGTGTGCTCTGTCCAAAACGATCTTGATAATCAAATGCAAGTTTAAATGTTCCCAAAGTCTTTGCAGAAGCAAGTCGCTGAAAATTAACTGTGAAAGCTTGGAAATGTGTTCCCCCAGAGCTCAGATATTTTAATCCCTGTTGTTTGGCTTTGCTCATTATAGGATGCATCCTTCTCTCCTCATTAAGATGTTTATGAGATATGTTTGGTCAGATAACCAGAAATAACTGAGATTGATTTGTGAGTTACCAACCCTAATGAGTGATGCAGTCTTGGTGTGGTTTGGGTTGTATCTCCAGTGCAGCCTTCTGGAGTTGACTGTACCCTTCTTGCAGCTCTCCTTCCTCTCTGGGGGGGGGAGAAAGGACCATCCCTGAAGTCTGAACCTGGCTTATGAATTTCTGCAGTCTTTTGAGTTTGCTTTCAGTCATATTTCAAACACCTCATGAAGGGACTTATTAGTGGGCATTTAATATCGCTTAATATTAGGGTTTCTTTGCTCAGTTTTAGTTTTATAGCTGCATTTTAGTTAGTCCTCTTTTCCATCATTTAATTCATATTAAAATACTTTGTATGTTTTGGAACAGAAAATTAAACGTACCAAAGCAATTTGGAAACCAATAGCTATCAGAAGCTAAATGTAAGTCTGTGAGCAGCCTAGGGGTTTGCTGTTCTTGAAGTTTTCAGAAAGCTAGTTTTCAGAGGCAGAAAAGTTGTATCATTGCCACAGCTTTGGCTGGTAAAACATGCCTAAGAGCCGAATCCTGTTGCTTAGCAACTTGTGAAAGATCATTAACCCTTTCCCAGCACCGCCCTCCTGAGGCATCTTTGTGGACAATAATTGAATATGAAGAAACTACTCTAATATCTTTAGCTACTAAATGTATTGATTTATTAATCATTAATGTTAAATGAAGGACCATCTTAATCTTATCATTAGTTACTGAAGGAGATCTCTTAATCAGAAGTCATTCTTCCATAACATGACGTGCAATTCTTGGAAAGGAAGGATCATGCAATTTCAGTAAAGATGGGGTAAGAAGTGGTTAAAAATAATTTGGGGTGATGGTGGTTCATGCTGCTGCTGATACTTCTTCATATGAA